GTAGTGGTGGTAGTGGTGGTAGTGGTGGTAGTGGTGGTAGTGGTGGTGGTGGTGGTGGTCGTCGTAGTGGTAGTGGTAGTAGTCGTCGTAGTGGTAGTGGTAATGGTAGTCGTAATGGTAGTGGTAGTGGTAGTGGTGGTAGTGGCGATGGTAGTGATGGTAGTGGTGGTGGTGATGGTAATGGTGGTAGTGGTCGTGTTGGTAGTGGTCGTAGTGGCAATGGTAGTGGTAGTGGTGGTGGTGGTAATAGTAGTAGCAGTAGTAAGCAGTAGTCGTATCATTTTGTAGTGCTATGTAGGTATGTATAGGTATATAGGTAGGGGATAGGGGTTATTACGTAGGTAGCTAAGTAGGCAGGTAGGCAGGTAGTGGAACAATGAAAAGAATGAATTAGTATTTTGGTGAACCAGTTTTACAAAGACCCTTTGGAGGTCAACGTCACCCCAAAAAAATGGCAGCTCATCTGATCACAAAATTGAATCTGAACACGTTTTCCTTCATCTTCTACCCAACCCCTGTTGCGATCAGTCTGAAGTCTCCATCGTCTCCATCCAGTGGCCAGTCTCCGTCCCAAGCGGCCAAATTCGGCGTGGAGGAGTGATTGACCATGTCCTGAGCTCCGGAGGACGAGGTCCGACGACCGACCTCGACATCCCACTTTTTCTGCCAAGAAAGGTGATCCGAAATCCTTTTCGGAACTCCAAAGGTGCTCAGGGTTCCAAACCCCGGCCTCCAAACCCCATGGTTTTCAGGGCTCGAAACCCATGGTCGACCGCATGGTGCGGTCGACCCCCATTCCGCCATCAATTCCTCTGGGGGAGCGTCAGTGGCTCCGCGGGTTTTGGGTGACCCGCACAAAGAGCACCGAAATCGAAACTGTCTAACCTTTTCATGTGCCAAGTGATTCACCATAAAAATGCGGAAAATTCATGCCAATCCTTACCATTCGCTAGAGGTCCAGTTCGACTCCCTTTGTCCGAAGTGCTTCGGAAATTCCTTGAGATCAGGTCCAACGCACATCAGACTCTGTTGAAACTGGACGACTGGACTCCCGAACCCGTTCCGTATGGGTTTTGTAGTCTAAGATCCTTAGTAAAACAGTGGCTTTGATCGAATCCCAAAGCTTTGCTGTCCGGGAGCCGGGGAGAGCGCCATGTATGGCCATCATACTTCCTCGAAGAACTTGGAACTCCCTCAAAGAATCATATGGGCCAAGGGGGGTCAGAACGCAGAAAGCCTCCCCGAGTTCGCATGATGTTCCGAAGACCCAACAGGGAACTGTCCACTTCGATTGTTTCAGGGAGTGTATACTAACGAACGACACTATAAATGAACGTAAAGTACAGCTTGCTAGCTAGCGGATGTTCTATGATGTTCTTCTATACAAACCAGTCACAGGCAGCTGCGGTCCATGTAGTTGTCTGCCGAGTGACCCCAACTGGCGCCATGGTCATGTGTCCCTGGCCACCACCTGACAACAAACTGTGCTTGACAAAGGCAACTTATACCCTGCGAGCCCAAGACCATGTCTAAAAAGGTCTTTGGGTGACCCGAAAAGGAGCTTCCCTTAACTTACTTTGGTGGTCCCAAAAAGTGTCTTGGGACGCTAGGGTCTAGGGTAATCTAGGGTAAATAGAAAAGCGACTTCAGACTGTAGATGCCAAAAGACCCTGGTTCAGTGGTTTACAAGGATCTCTGATCTTAACAATGGTCGAGTCTAGACTTTGTGCCATCATTGGCTGCAATCAACCCATATAAAAGTGACTCACCTGGAACGCTCAAAGGGCACCTGGTGTTCCACCTACTTATGGATCTGGTGTAAGTTCCGTGCTTGCTTCTAAAGGACTATGCCCTCCTAGATCCAAGTGCAACCGTGTAATGTGCCATTTCTTCAAGCAAGCCTGAAAGGCTCTTCCAAAAGACAAATGTGCCCGCATGTCCAAGTGCTGTATATGAGAAAAAATCCAAAAGCAAGATCACCCTTGAGTCTATGCGAAAGCCGGGCCACAGTCGAAGGTCCGCGGGAACGCTGCCATCAAGCCCCAAAGTGCATCCTGGCGGCACAACCAATCCCATCCCGGTGCATCCCTACGTCACCGCCATCAGCTTTGTGGCCCTCAAAGAGGTCTGACACGGTGACTCGAGTCGGGTGCTACATGCCTACAGGTTTCCAACCACCCTTAATTTAACAAACAATCATGTTTGTTGGATGGCCTTGGAAGGCTAGGGTATATATGTCAAAGTGGACTTCGGGCTATACCCTCCGTTCGATCGGAGTTTCCCTGTATTTCCCGTGCCCAGAAAGCAGCACCTGTTGGGAAGGAAGAACCAGGTGAACCAGGACCTAGGTCAATTGCAACCAGGACCTAGGTCAAGTGAGGAAGAAGTGAGGAAGACGAAAGATTGAAGAAGAAGAAGGTTAAAAGGTTCCTTCTATCGGATTCTGGTCGAACCGAAGGCGACGATCTCCTGATTGATTGCCCCGAGCCCTGTTATGTTTCTCTCCGAGGTCTGCCAGTCGCAGCCACCAATCCAAGCATTTGGGAGATCCAATGGAGAGAACCGCAGGAAAATACGGTGAACGAGCTGCAAGATAGGAACAGACTGCAAACCCCTGCAGCCCTGCAAGTCGTCTGCATCGGTGGCATCCACCTCTCACTTTGGTGAGTGCCTGCCCGTATCAGTATAACAGCTCCAAAGCCAACAAAAAAAGAGAAAACATACTCTCCCAGCAGTCACAAAGGGGTGCTTAATGGAGGTTGGGGGTGCCCAGAACATCCACTCACTGGATGGGACTAAACACCACCCCGTCTTGTGACTCCTGGTCCCTGGAACTAACAGGGGTACGTGATGTTCCGTGGATGGCACCCCCCCTGAGTGCACCCGGTCTTCGGAAAGCCCCAGAGGCGACCCTGGACCCGAACCAACTGCTACATGTTGGTTCGGTCCATTTCACCCTAGCTATGAGATGCAAGGTCCTTTCTGAAGCCTTTGGGAGGAAGTTTTTACTAGAACATCCTGTCCAGATCGGAGACGCCTAAAAGGAATAGGAGCACCCAGGCGATCCCAGGCGTAGTCCTTTAGAAGCGATCCCAGGCGTGGTTCCAGAGCTTCGATGGAACCCACAAAGGTCTTTTAGATGGGCCCCGGGGTTCCGTTGCTAAGACCTTTGATCTTTCAGTTAATTCATTGTAGAGAATGATATCTATATATCCATTCACATCTAATTATATAGATATCCATCTCAACCTCACACCTCCCCTGCTTCGGTGTATCTCTGCGGTGCCGAAACACGTCGAGTCTGTCTGTCTCGATCGACACCGAACGACCGTGACCGTCCTTGATCTGCTTCGGTGGGAGTTAGGTCATTGGATGGGACTTCAAAAAAGGTCACTGATCGGAAGATCCAGGTCATAGTCACAAACACGGCCAAAACGGCTCAAACGGCTCGCACCTTCCAGGTGATCTCTGGCCGATTTCCACGGCGTGCGTTGTAGAAATCCAGTTCCTTCCTCAAGGCTCCCTGGCGGCCAAAACGTGGCAGGCTGCAACAGGTGGCAGATCTCTCCCGAACCACAGGCGCAATGAACGTTAAGGTAGACCTTACGGGCCCGACCTCTTGGCAGGGGTCTAGACCCGAACCAAACCCATCCAGACCCTGTCTATTTGGATGCCGGGATTCTTAGGGTGAAACACACGCTGGCGGATAAAATAAGTAAAACACTGCGAGGGACGAGTGAAGGCACTAAAATGAAATGCCAAACTTCCAAAGCCTTAAAGATGTCCATTATCCATATAAACCACCTTTGGGACATTTGCACCATCTACTCTGAAGCCACCGTGATACAGTACCATTTACAGTAACAAGGATTGGATAAAGTATCTGTGTGCCGAGGCCCGTGCAGCTTTGATCCACATGGCGTTCAACCCTAAGAATCCGAACGGGCCCTCCATGGCTCCATGGGGGTCGGGGTCGGACCTTCTCCACCACCGTTTCACGCACGCAGGGGGAAAAGGACCTTCGAAACTCCGTCCTATTTGAGGGCGGATTCTTAGGGAAAAGGAATCCATTGGAATCCATTGGATTCCTCCATTGGATTCCTTGGCTGATCAAGTGGAGCATCAGCGTCCGAACCCCAACCCCCTGTTCGGAGTCGAGTCCTATTTGTGGCGGAGATGGAAAGGATGAACTAAGGAAACAGCGAACATACACCCAATACTGCCCCCCAATTTTGAGGTGTCCCCTTCTTACAGCTCCGACCACCCCACGGCTCGGTCCGACCACCCCACAGGTCTTGCTCCTCGCTCCGGACGACGCGACGCGCTCGACGCGCGACGGACGCGCGAGCTCCGCCTGCAAGTCCTCGGTCCATGCAGGCACCTCAGTGTCCGTGACACGCGGAGCTCGGTGGAGGGAGGATCGCGGGAGCGGTTCGGTTCACGTCACAGGTCCGCGAGAAGACCGAAGCCGTGGTGGAGGTGTCGCCACTTGTTCGGACCCATGACAAGAGGAAGGTGAAGAGGAAGGTGAAGCCTGATTTTGTGTAAAACTCTATAGTCAAACACTGGACATCAAAATGGAAACCTGCTCTGCTCTGCCAAGGTCGGAGCACTGTCCGCTCCATTTGAGGATGGAAGGGTACATATGTTTACAGATTCATGGTTTCATGGTCTTGTCATGAGTACAGTGTTTCGCAAAGCCATTATTGCTCTTGCTGGCACGTTTCACCCTTGTTGAGATTGACCCCAACCCCTGTTGACATCATACTGATCCCCAAAAGGTCTCCCTCACGCACAGGGCCCCATCGGGGGCGGCCCCACGCAGTACGGTCGCTGCTGCTCCCACGGAGCCGCTCGTTGCCCAGGCACGCTGCCGAACTTCGGAAGTCCTGCCGGTGGCAACGGTCGAGAATGGGTCTGCCGGTGGCGCACCGGCACCGGTGGCACCGGTGCACGACCCTGGAAAAACCAGGACCCGACCTGGGGGGGTCGAGAGCGACCTGGTTTGATCGTCTAGAATCTGTAAAAGAAGTGGTTTTTCGGCACAAAGATCCTGGAATCCAGTGGATCGAAATCGTGGTGGAAAGGAAAATCCTTTCTGGGTTGCGTTTGGAAAATCGACCAGTCTACCCAACCAGCGCCTTGAAAAGGGGGTCTCCCTATACGAACAAAGCACACCCATACCTGGGCCATCCCAGACCTGGGTGTCCTGTCTGGAGATCCCGGAGAGCACAGCAGGGAAAAGTCTAGCCAGGACACCCAAACAGGAATTTTGGTAGAATGAGATACGTATCATCAGTGTGAAACACTACCCTAGAAGTCCAGTTCGACTAACTGATGTAAAGGATATTCCCTTTCGGGTCACCTAGTCAGACCATTCTTTTTATAGTCTTTGACTCCCAGGGACTATGTCTCCTCGTTCTGTCCACTTCGAGGGATGTGACCGAAGTGTTCAGACCGGAGGCGAACCGCGGCGTCCTCGTAGCTTCACCAGCTCCGCCGGGGACGCGGTGAGAGGTAGGCCGAGCTGCTGGTAGTCCTGGGGGGGCGTCACCTGGTTGTCATTTTAAATCTGTGATATAAACCATATATACAAATATATATATATATATATGCATTGTATACCTGAGAAGCTGCAAAGCGAAGGCCAGCGCTTCCATTTTTGAGGTGGCCTGAACAATGGTTTTAGGGCAGCAAACGCCTGGCCCCAGGCCACCTTGCATTTCGTTTGAAAAAACATTCTGTTCACACATAGATAATTCCCATTCCACATTCAGATGAAGCAAAAGCCCAAAACTGCACATTGACCTACATTGACCTTGCACCTGGTTGAACATACGATTGGTTGTCATATGATTGGAAGTGCATTCGTTCAAGTAGAAAGTTTTTTGAGCAAAGTTCGAGGTGGCCTGGGACCAGAGGCTCGCTGCCCGAAACTATATGTTCAGGCCACCTCAAAAATGAAGATATGCGAAGCAAGGGTCCTGAGGTGTCTCTGTGACAAGGCTTTTGTTAAAACAGACAGCTTTTCAAGCTAAATTCAAGGTGGCCTGAGACCAGGGTTTGCTGCCCTAAACCACTCTGTTCAGGCCACCTTAAAAATGAAGGTCTGCGAAGCGAGAGCAAAGGATGCACACATTGTCCTTCTGCTGCTTGAATGTGGCCTTTTGTTTACTTAAAAGTTCAAGACCTCCCAGCTGTTTCCACCTCTTCGCTTCCCAGTCTTCCCAGGGTTCATATAGGGAGCCAGGCCATTTTCAGAATCTTCTGGATTTGAGCTGTTCGAGTTCCTATTGAAGGGTGTATGTTCTAGTTGGCGAGTGCGTCACCACCCGCTCCAAAAGCATCAAAGCATCACCTCCCAGAGTTTACGTATATCTTTCTCGAGCCACACATGCACAGCAAACCACAGCTTTGAAGTCTCATTCGTGCTTTGAACTTGTATAGGTGTGTAAGAGGTATAGCAACATAGAATTTAAACGGACCCAGGGTAGCTACAATTCTGTTCCCAGGTATCGCGCGCATGAGGCTTCAAAGCTGTGGATTGCTGTGCTTCAAAGCTGTGGATTGCTGTGCGTGTGTAGAGGTTATCGAGCGGTTGACGGAAAGGGAACTTGAAGTACTATACCTGGTAGCTGCACTATAGCTACCCTGGGTATCTATACCTGGCAAGGTGCCAACTACACCTTTCCATTCAGATGATGCAAACGATGCAAATTGCATTTCTTGCATCACCACCCCTCAAAAATCACCTCCAACACAACCTCCTCGATGCACCCTCCTCCCCCAGCATGTGCCGAGTTTACGTGTACCTTTTGCGGGCCACCCCCCCAGACCCCCTAACTACTCACTTCGTTCGCCAAGCACAACTCAGCTGGCGCCTTCTACGAAGGCTGGCTTTCGTAATACATACATAATACACAAATATACATATATTATGCATTATTTGGTAAAGAGCATCAAAAGACGTTAAGGTAAATAATGTTTTCTTCTATATAACCTTCAAGAAAAGAAGGTACAAAGACTATTTGGTAAAGCATTTGCCTTTCTTGGAATTTCAAGGCAAATGTGCACTGCCAGGGAGGATTCATCGCATCGTCCACGAAGACCCGATTCTTTTCGATGGGTTTCTTCCAAACTCACCCTTGACACTGCCCCTTATTGGTTGACCCCCACTAAGAATGTGATCGACGGCTTTTCTATCTATTTGGGAACCACTATATTGGTTGACAGGACTTTGCGATACCTGCTCCCTCTACTTTTCACTCTGCAGCTGTGTGTTGAAGAGGATCTTCGCGCACCTTGACCTTGCCACTTGCTTAGAGGTTGGCGCGCAACCCACTTACAGCGGTTTCAGATGGTTTCAGAGTAGGCTGATGGCACAATCCCAAAAAGGTGGTTGATATGGACGCCCCAATAAGAAATTAGTTTTAAAAAAAATGTTGGGGGTTGTGCCACCTACTCTGAAAACACTGTGATTGATCCTGTTGCTCATCTCCTGCGGAAGACTTCGCCATCTCCCGACACCCATCGCTGCGAGTGTACCGATTTGTTTCAAGCAGCTCAATGTATCGTGTGCCTGGCCTCGTATTTGGGGAGGCTATGAATCCAGGCTGCCCAGTAATCCTTCTCAGCATCTCCAGTTTCCTTCGCGCAAAAGCTGCGATGCGACACGGGAGACGGTTCACAGCAAGAAATCGTGCATTCTGCTGGTTGTTTTGTATCCTGGATCAATTTGGATTCTTGAAGTGATGATAACGGTTCTCGTATGTTCTCATCCTAATCTCCACTCTCTTCAAATCATCAGCAATCCTGATGTTCTCCCTACAGCGATATTGATAAATTCATGATTCATGAGCATCAGTGACTCCCATTGTGCCACAAGAAACAATTCAGGATTTCCCCAATCCTCTGATAATCCATGCATTTAAGTGTCGACCAGTCGATGCCGAATCCAACTGGGCAGCCAGCCTTTCGCATCATCCTAGATGGGGGCGCGGTGCACACAAGGATATCCCTAAGGAGTCAAAGACTATTCTTGTGACCACCGAAGTAAAGAAGATTCCTTACGTTCGCATATGCACTGTCAAGAGTTTACATGAAGAGAGCACATGGTTCGTTCCAGTTTGGAGTCAATGTCTTCGTCTGTTTGGAATAGAGCAACTTCACGGAACTGTTCTACAGAGATAGGGGCCACACAATGCTCTCTCTATAAAGCCGGGTTCCTTGCAAGCACAGCTCTAATTGAATGCATATTTAATCTAATGTATTAAAATATATGACAGTCCCTTATCCTCAAATAAGAATGGTTGTATGGTAAATTCATGTAAAATCCATAAATCCATGGTACTTTGCCCAAACGAAGGCTGCCGGGATCTGTTGCCCTAAGCCCTAAGAATCCTTGGGCCCTCCCAAACCAGATGTGTGTGAGGGCCCTGATTTATTTAGGGTGAAGATTAACAACGAAGTTCTCACTGCTGACCGAACTCTTCGCATCGCGCCGTGGTTCAGTCTTCGCGCCGTGATCCAGTCTCCGAGCTTCCGCATCACTGCCCAAGACTTGAAGTTTCTTTTCGGCCAGCCACATCCTCGGTCGCTTGCTGGTGTTACGTCCATGCCCACACAGGCCGACGGAGAGGACATACCTGAACCGGAGGGGATTTGAGGTCGAACCATTTTTCTTTTTTTGAAGTCTCCAGGGGCAGACCTGAAAGCTCAATCAACCCAAAACTCTGTTACTGATTGAGCTCCACGACAATCAACCCAAAACTCCATAGCTCAATCAATCTCCAGGGGCAGGTCAACCCAAAACTCTTAAAAAGAGACTCTGTTACCTGACAATATCTGATACTGACAACTCGCACCAACACCCTAAATCATCTCGTCTCTGGTTCCCCTGGACTCGACTCTACCCCCACCCAAACACCCCAAAAAGGAGAAGAAAAAGACACACACAAACATACACAAACTGCGAAATACGCAAGTGGTAGCAAGCGCACCTTTTCCGCAACAAACACGAAAGTGACATGCCTGTGAAACTATGTTGTGGTTGCTTCTTGGCTTGTGCTGTGTAATCCTTGCTCTGCCATGCTAATCCCGCATGCAAGCGGGCCGGAACCTTGCTGACAGCTGGTAACCTTAGTCATGCCGTTCTCGCGTCTCAGGCCGGCTAAACGAAAGGTGGCAGCGGATTCAAACCAACCATGCATAGTGCTCGAACACCTGGCCGGATTCACACCGGTTATTTTTCTTTTGATTCTGAATCCTCTTGGTCCAACAACTCTGTTGCTTCTGCTGTTGCACTTGCTCTGCGTTTCTGTCGTTCAGCCTGCTTGAAGCTGTCGTCAACACTTATTTTGCCCTTCCGGTTCTGCCGTTCTGAACTCAAATATTGACTTGAGACTGTGTGGTCTACATGTTTTTGATGAACTCAATTTTTGAAATCAATTGGTTTGAATTAAAAGTTTGAGTTGAATTGTTGATATAAAACTCAATATTTGAGATAAAAATTGTTGAATTAATTTTTTCAATTGGTTTCGAAACAATTTTTGAGTTGCTGCTGCTTAGGGTTAGGGTTTTTTGGGTTTGGCTTTAAACATTAGGGTTCAATCCGGGCGCCGGCCAGGAAGCCCGTGGCATGCCCGGAGGGCCTTCGGTGGTAACCCCCTGCCGCCGACCCTCGGGACCAAAACGGGCGGACCACCGGTTCACTGACGCCCCTGTAATTTACAGTGTATCGTGTGTGTGTGAGGTATAAAAAACACTGTGTTTTACAGGGTTTTAGGCCCCTCGGCGGCCGAGAATTTCATCTTGGCGATGTTAAAAACGTAGGTTTTTTCAGGGTTTTGCTTTGCGGGAAGGAAAAAATCGTAAAAAGTTGTCTCGGAATATTTTTTCAACATAAATTGCCTGACATATCCCCAACATAGGCCGAAGATAGCCAACCTATCCCAACATAGCTTCCAAGATGGCTCAACATAGAGCCAACATAGGCCAACATGGGGCCAACATACGCCAACATAGGCTCAACATAGGCCCAACCTAGGCCAACATAGGCCTAACATAGGCCAACATAGGCCCAACATAGGCTCAACATGGGCCCAAGATGTGCCCAACATACACCACATGGGCCCACTTGGCCCAACCTAGGGCCAAGATGCGCACCAGATAGCTTAACTTTGCTCAATATAGGCCCCACCAAGGCCAACATAGTGACTTACGCCCCACAGACCCACGTGGGCCGGCGCCCGGCTCTTAGGCGTAAGCCTTTAAATAGGCTTTGAAAACCTTTTTTGAGTTGAGCTGCTGCCCAAACCCTAATCCTGCTTAGGGTTAGGGTTTTCTAGGGTTTGGCTTTAGACATTAGGGTTTAATAGGTTTTGTGCAGGGGCTTAGGGTTTGATAGGGTTAGGGTTCTTGCCAGGCAGGTTTTGAGGTTAGGGTTCTGGGCTGCTATGTCTGGAATTAGGAAAACCCTAAACTACGAACGCTACAGCACGGCGGTGCTAGCGTCGACAAGAAACTACCAACGACACCAAAACAAAGTGTACAAATACTTTTGCACTTGAAAGCACTGTCGGTCTGTTAGGCCGACTTCAAATCAAGCTTATACAAAAATAATGTGCAACTTATAATTGGTATGATCAGTTAGTTTCTCTTGTTTTGTCCTTGAGCCAAAGTGGCGTCCAGGCCACGTGTATTCATTTCTGTACAGTGCAGCACCCTCGCAAACTGAAAGTTGCGTACCTCTAGGTACAAAGTGTCCTATCTTCTCGAGAAAAAGGTTAGCACCTCCGGGTGCATTTCGTGAAGTGGTCAGCACCGCGAGGTGCACTCCAAGAAAGGGTTCAGCACCGTCAGGTGCACAAAGTGGTGGGAGCCTAGTGTCTTCAGACACGCAAGATTTAACACAGGTTCACAACGTGAACAGGGTCTAGTGTCTTCAGGCACGAAAGTTCCAACACATTCATGTAAAGTCGAGCACCTTCGAGGAGGTTAGGCCACTTCGAGAAGGTCGAGCACTGTCAAACCACGACGTCCAGTACACTCAGTACTGTTAGGTTGCTCCTAACCGCAAATTCCCTTGAAGTCCTCAGGAGGTGAGGAAGAAAGGCCTACACTCCGTGCTAGGTGTTCCATCTACACCAGGGGCTTCAACAAAACTGGAGGTTTGTCCACCTCGCAGGTGGCAAGTCCAAGGATCACTGCTCGTGCGAAAACGGCAGGTTCAGCAAGGAATGCTCACTCCTACTTTTGGTGGCAAACTATTCCACCGGGGAAACCCGCGAAAGGTCAGTGACCTTGAGAAGAGGTGCAACCACATCACCTGCACCGGTCGGTGACCGGCTGAGAGGGCGTCACGTCGGTCAACGACCGTCAAGCACAATTGGTCTCAACAAGACCCTCAAGCACTACAGATCGGTCAGTGACCGTCGATCACACTCTGTTGGTCTATGACCGTGGAACAAGCTTCGGATGAATCACCCCACGCTCCAAAGCAAAAGGTTCGAGACAATCTCCTCAGATGTGTCGAGAACTCACACACATGGGCGCCAAAAACAGGCGGGACTGCAGCTCCCACATGAGAACAAAACTGTTCGAGATGTACACTTTCGGTTGGTTGGTCAACTGCGCACTGCGCGCGCTGCAAGAACGAAGTGGTCACCAAGCACCACTGGGAGATGCCTTCGGCATCGTGGTGTATGCCCTGTTCGGCACAAAGGGCCTCAACTGTTCAAGTTGCCTGACACAAGTATGTCCTCACGCTCAATCGTTTCGCACGCTTTGCTTTCAAGCACTGGTGTGCATTCAACAGGACTAAAGGTGACAATCTCGGATGTTCAACGCGCAAGTCCTGTTGCCAAGAAATGGATTGGAAATCTCTCTCTGCATACACACAGTTCCAATGCACTGCGGTGCAATCATGGTTCAAATGCACTGTTCTGCATTTAGCAAGACTAAGGGTGACAATCTCGATTGCTCAACTTGCAAGTCTTGCTCTCAAGAATTGGGTTCGGATTCACACATTTGGAGATGTCGGATTCTATCCTTCACGGTTGCTTTACAACTCCTAGTGGAGAATTGGTCACTGCTTCAACTCTGTCTCAAGTGCTACCTTCTAGAACATTTGCTTCACAAGTGTTCACTGAAATATCTACACATCAAGACTACAGTATAGTGGGTTTGATATTTCCACATAAACCCTAAACCCTACACCCGATAAGGGCATCACACTGACCCTCACTCTCCTTGAGGTCTTTTTCCTCCTTGCGAGGGAGATTGCATTTTGGGTTTGGGTTGCCACCTGTCTTGAACCGGTAACGAGTCTGGGTGGTGGGGTCGACATTGACCTGGTATGGCTGTGGGGCACACAGCTCTGCCAAGGCCAAGGCCACTGCATCCTTTGTCTCCTTGTCCAGCACAGACTTGTCCACCACCTCCCACACTTTCTGGGCTGCCTTTCTCTTCTTCCCACCTCGAGCAAAAAGACGAAGCAGCTGCTGCTGTGGTGGCACAGCTACCTCAACCTCTTCTGCCTCACCCTCTTCGGCTTGCTGCTTCTTTTTCTTAAGAACCTTGTTCTGCTCGGTCTGCACCAAACAAAGTTTTCCTGTTCTCAACAACTCACGCAGCAATGTTTTGTCTGCGTTGGCCTTTGTCAAAACATCTGCTATGTTCTGCATGCCATCAATCCACCGCACTGAAGCTCCAGGCCTCTTCACTGTCTCTCTCAACAAAGCTCCTTCAATTGCCATCCTCTTGTCAGAGCTTGTGGACGTTGAGTCCTTGGTCAAGTAGTCAAACACTGAACGGGCGTCTGTAACATAGACCCGTGCTCTAGCTTCAACAACTTCAGACCAATTCTTTAGATCAACATTGCCTGTCATTGCTTCTTCCAAAAGCACTGCAATCCAATCTCCGGTTTGAACAGCCTCTGCCAAGTGACTAGCCTCTGCGGCTAAAGTGCTTCGACAAACACGTTTTAACAAGCTGGAGTGGAAGGCGATGATGTTGCACCGAGCTTCCTTCGCTTCAAGAATGCAGGAGTCTGCAATCAAAATGAAGCAGCCTCCAACTAACCTATATCGAAGAACCTCGTCACGTTCTGGCGTTCCATTGGCATGTCCAGAGTCAGCCAAGTGAACAAGCACGCCATCTCTCAAGTTCACATCAGACCAATACCTCTGCTGGAAATCTGCTCCACGCCTTGCCATGCCAATGTAGCTCTTCAAACGAACTAAATCAGCTACGCATGGATCTGCTTTGCACCTTTGAATGCAACCGTTTTCAAATGCAATGTCACAACGAAGTTGCCTTGCAAGCCAACCCAACTCACCAGCCGAACTATTGAGGGTCTCCCTCTCCTCATCGGTCAAACTGGATTCAAGCTGTTTGCTTCTATTGCGATCTTCTTCATAGTCATTGCATAGTTGCGCATGGAAACATCTATGTGGCCTTGCGGCTGCTGCTTCACTTCTCGACGACAAACACAAAGTCACGCACATGATTGGTTGAAAACTCAAGAGACAAGGTGGAATGCTCGAAAGCTTTCGACATGTAACCTTCTTCAACTCCACCTTCAATGTCG